TGAGAAGTGTGGAGAGGGCAATGGCAGCGATGGTAAGAAAGGCTGGCAAGCCAAGGCCTGAGCACAATCGTACTATTCTTCAGTGAAAGTGAGTTGTCATATGGATACTCTAATTTACTCCCTTTTAAAAAATACTTATGTCTGCGCCGGGCGTTGGTGGCACACGCCTTTAATCCCAGCACTCGGGAGGCAGTGGCAGGCAGATCTCTGTGAGTTCGAGACAGCCTGGTCTACAAGAGCTAGTTCCAGGATAGGCTTTAAAGCAACAGAGAAACCCTGTCTCGGGAAAAAATAAAAAAAGATTCTTGTGTTTCTAGTGTCTTCTGGTCTGCTCCGATGAGTCCCCACCTATTTCTTCTCATAGATGCAGTAATTCAGTCCTTTCCTTTCAGTAGCCTTCAAGCTACTGTTTCTGAAAATAAGTTTTACTTCAGGCACTAGGAAGCCTGTGTTATTAAATCCCTTACAGGCTTGAAATCATTTTTATTCTGACTTTACATTTCACTGAGTTTTTTGAGTAAGAATTCCCAAGTTCATATCCAATTTCCTAAGAAATATGAATTTATTGCTCCATTGTCTAGCATCCAGTCTTAATGAGGAAATATGCCTAAGGACATTTTCATTCTTGTTCTCTTGAAAGAAATATTTCTGTCTCTGGACATCTTTAAGTTGTATATCCTCCTCCCCCCTCCCCCCCGCCACCGTGTCCTTGGTATTCTGAAGGTTCAAAGTGATGTGATCAGTGGAGAAATACAATTTTAGTTATCAAGCTGGATATACAGCAGACCCCTTTCAGTTTGAAGACACAGAGGATTTTTTCTGTCATATCTTGATAGTTTCCTACCCTCTATTTCTTTGTCATTCCTTTATATGCTTCCTGTTGACTAAACAGTAGTCTTCTGGGACATGAAAATTTGTTTCATAAAATTTTTCCTGACACATTTCTTCAATAGTCTTCTATTTCTTTCATATTATTATGCATGAAAGATAAAACAACCCCCTCACAAACCGTCTAGACTTTCAATGCCTTCGTTAAATTATATTCTTAAACTATATTATTTTTTAATTTTTGACATAATTTCTTTATTGTTCTTTGGGAATTTGACATCATGTACCCCAATTCTGTTCATTTCCCAGTCCTACCATATATGCCCTTCACCCTTACAGCATCCCCCCAAGAAGAAATTAAAAAACAAAAATCAAACCAAACCAAACCAAACCAAGACAAGACAAACAAACAAACAAACAAAAACATCTCTTTGCTTCTCTATCTTTCCCACCTCTCTAACGTCTCTTAATTCATCATAGTGGCATTGGAAGCTTCAGTGTGTCACGCAGTATTCTCTTTAGTTCAATCAGCTTTACTTACAAAAAGTTCATTGCAATGAGTACATCATAATTGCTGGACCCTCACTGAAACTCCTCTTGAATATTCCCCACCTACTAGGAGTCACGGAGATCCTGCAGGTATCTTTCCACAATACTAGTCCCTTCATGTGCTCCAACAGGCCACAGATGGGGTAGGTGTTAGGGTGGTCCAACCCAAAGCCTTGGATGTGTGCCTGGGTGGTGCTGAGCTGTTTAGTCTGGGCCACTGATGTTCATCCTAACGCAAGGGGTAGAGCCGGCTCTTCTATGCCCATGCTACCAGGGTCAGTTCTCCTACACCCATACTGAAGGGTGGGGTCATCTCTCCAAAGTGGAGGGGCCAGCTATCCTGTGAGGGTTGTTGTCAACTCCCTTGCTACAGAGTCCAGTGAGGGGCAGGGCCAGCTTTCCCAGGGCCAATAAAGTGCTAGGCCAGCACAGCATGGCTCTCTGATTTCATCACACAGGGTTCCTATGCCTGCCTCCTTCCCCTGTGGTAACATGGGCCACAGACATCAACACAGATCCCAGATGCAATCAGAACCACATACCCAGACATGGCCCTCAGTAGCAACTTGAGCCTGGATGACATCATGGCTCCAGGCAACATCAAAGGACACCCAAATCAGGTTGGCTTAGGTTACAGCACAAGTCCTGGACACCAACAAGGCCTTTGACTTCAACACAGACTCCCGCTGTGGTAGGACCACCGATCCAGACATGGTCTTCGGCAGCAGCGGGTCTTGGTATCACCCTTGCCCCTGGTGGCAGCACAGCTCTTTCAGATCAACATGGCCCCAGCTGCAGCGTGGCCCTCAAACTCGAACAAGGCAACAGGTTTCAGTACAGACCCTAGGTTTCTATGTGGCCTTTGGTGGCAACGTGGCCAAGGATGTTTAACACAGACTACGAATGGGATAGGGCCACAGACAAAGACATGGCCTTCAGCAGCAGCTTGGTGTGTGCGTGGGGGGGGGCACCATGGCCCATTTCACCTATTTTCAGAACACATGAATTATTCTGCTTTTCTTTCTCTCCAATTTCTCTACCACACATTTGCTCATCATAATAGTAGTCATCTACCCGACACCTGGCAGGGCCCTGTGGCTGTCTTCAGCCACCCCACTCCTTGAGGACCCATCCTGGCATGTGGATGGCTAGCACCTGCCTGAGCTGAATGGCATCAATCAGGACCTAAACTATGTTCTTAAATTATGTTTTTAACTAACTTTTAAACCATTGGTGGCATCAATCAGGACCTAAACTATGTTCTTAAATTATGTTTTTAACTAAGTTTTAAACCATTGGTTTTTTTTTTTATTTTCAAAAGCAGTACTCGTTTTAAATCTGAATTTTTCTTAGTTTTTTCCCTTTTTTTTTCTGGTTGTCATAGTTCTTCTATGTATGAGTCACATCTTTTTGATGATTAATGTTGAAGGATTCCTTCATAGAGGGAGGACATTTAAGACTGAGAATAAAGAAAGGTTAGCAGTCTCAAGAAGTAACCAAAATTTATAGACTTCCAGAAGCTAAGAGAAGACACACAAAGGTTATCAAGCAGCGATGGTCGCTAAGGAGAAAATACTCAGGTGGCCAGCCTAACAGCGGACAAGCTGTGTAAGGAGCTTCAAGGATGCAGCTTCTGTGATGATTTCCCAGGGCGGGGTGAGCTTTGGTTGATGCAGATGCCTTTAATTCATCATTCTCTGTAATTAACCCTGAAATTAACCCTTCTGAATTAATTGTTCCCTATGCCAGACTTCAGTGGAAACTTATTCTTGATATGTTCATAGCACACTGTGTGAGAGGACATTTATTTACATTTTCTAGGAAAATAATCACAATGGTATTCATCATTATTCATGTCTTAGTTAATGTTTCTATTGTTTTGATAAAACACTAACCAATCTGGGCGTTGGTGGTGCACACCTTTAATCTCAGCACTGGGGAGGCAGAGGCAGGCGGATCTCTGTGGGTTCCAGGCCAGGCTGGTCTCCAGAGCAAGTGCCAGGATAGGTTCCAAAGCTACAGAGAAACCCTGTCTTGAAAAAAACAAAAACCCTGTAGCCAAAAGCAACTTGAAGAGGAAAGGGTTTATTTTAGTTTACAGTCCCACATCACAATCCATCAGTATTCTCACATTATCTGTCTTTGGAAAATAATTTTACTACTATATTTCTGCAGAGAGGGACAGGAAGTGAGGAGGTGGGACTTCCACTCTGCAACAGCCTGCCACCTTCCAGGTAAAGTCCTAACTGCCAAATTGCTGATACCGTGTGAATTACCACTGGAAGGATAAACGGAATAATGAGACCAAGCTTTGCTCAGACTTCAGATTAATTTTCCTGTTTTACTGCCTCTAGGGTCAGAGCTACTGAGGACTCCACTAAGTTCTTGGTTTTTGCATCCATTGCAGTTTATTCATAATTATTGTTTTAAGCGTCGTGTCTGCACTGTTTTTGTAATTGTTTTACCTTTTGTTATTATAATTACATCTTCCACTCTTCCTTTTCTTCCCTCCAAATGATTCCCTATATCCTCTCTTGCTCACTTTCAAATTCATAGCTTCTTTCTTCATTAACTGTTATTGTGCATCATTGTTTTTAAAAAAATCTTATTCATATGTTTGTGAGTATCTGTGTTTGTTTGTATTGCCACATCTGTGCAGGTGTCCAAAGAGGCTAGAAAAGGGCATTATATCCACTAGAGATGGAGTTACAGGTGTTTGCAAGCCACCCTGCATGGACACTGGGAGCCACACTGTGTTTCCATTTGTAGCAATGGAAAGTTCTGAGCCATCTGGCCAGTCCCACCATTTTATCTTTTAAATTCTCCTCCAATCTTGTTCTTTGCCGATCATCTTCCTAATCTTTTTTTTTTTTCCTATAGGTTGTTTTGCCGTTTTACATGTTATTCCAAGCAAAGGGACTAAACAACCCTCATTCAAACCATTCTGACTGACTTTAAATGCCTCAGGTAAGTTATATTTTTTTTTGCTTTAAATTATTTCATTGCTTACTTCCTATAACAATTTATATCTTGTGTTGCTTATAGAGATTTAAAAGATTAATTAATTTTACATGATTAGTTTTATAATAAACATTGTTATTGTTGGGAGAAAAAAAACACTAAAAGCTGGTAAGTTAAAAGGGAAAAGGCAAATTATCTCTTTTGTCCCTAGTCTACAAAGAAATAAGGTTAAATAAGGTATTGTCTTAGTGTTTCTATTGCTGGGCTGAAACACCATGACCAAAAGGCAAGCTGAGAAGGAAAGGATTTATTTGGCTTATACTTCCATACTGTTGTTCATTGTCAAAGAAGTCAAGAAAGGAACTTAAGCAGGGCAGGAACCTAGAGGCAGGAGCTGATGCATAGGTCATGGAGAGGTGCTGTTTACTTATTTGCTCCACACAGCTTGCTTAGCCTGGTTTTTTGTTTTTGTTTTTAGAGACAGGGCTTCTCTGTAGCTTTGGAGCCTGTCCTAGAACTCATTCTGTAGACCAGGCTGGACTTGAACTCACAGACATCTGTCAGTCAGCTGCCTTTCTTCCTTTTTTTTTGTTTTTTAATAGATCCTAGGACCACCCACAATGGGCTGGGCCCTCACCCACCAATCACTAATTAAAAAAAAAGTCTTACAGCCAGATCTTATGGAGGCATTTTATCAATTAATGTTTCCTCCTTTCAGATGATTCTATAAGATTAGTCAACACAGAGATACAACTGCAGTTGTTTTACACAAATGGAAAGAGAATAGCCGTAAAGCTCAGGAAATGGAGCAAGAGTGACAGGAAAGTCTTTAACAAGTAAGGAAGTCCTTTTTCTGAGATTACCAGAGAGTGTGATATGATGATGTGGAAAAAAAAAAGACACTGCATGGATGAAGAAGCTGTGATACTTGTCAACAAAGGCCACAGTTTAGTTAAGCCTTGAAATGCTAAAACCAAATTAAATTAGCCCTGACTTTGAGGGAAAACAAGAAGCTATTGTCTTATTTGGATATACCAGACCTACATGATCCATGAGATATAATTTTTAAATTTTTAAATATTTTGAGATTATAATACAATTACACCATTTGTCCCTTCCTTCTCCTCTCTCCCAACCATCCCACTTTTCTTCCCCAGTCTCCTTCAAATTCATGAGCTCTTTTACTCCCCACTCATAGTTAATTCATGAATATATTTATATAGATTAATATACACGTATTCCTAAATATAACCTGTTCACTCCATATACTGTTACTTTTATGCATGTTTTAGGGACTGACCATTTGGCACTGGACAATCACTGTAATCTTCCCTGGGAAAGGCCACTGTTTCTGCTACCAGCTTTCCCTAGTTGTCTGTTGTTATGATAAATCTTTCCGCCAAAGCCGCCTGAGCCCTACCGCCATGTGGGCAGTCTCGCCAGCTGCCCAAGTTCTGCCTGCCACGTGGATGGACAAAATAATATACAGACTTATATTAGGTACAAATGCTGCTTGGCCAATGACTAGGATTTCTCATCTGTTAGCTCAGTCTTAATTATCATAAATCTATATATTTTATAAGACTTATCCTATCAGACGCCTTCCATTGGCGCCCTCCCTTGCTGGTGGATTACATGGAGCCACTGGGGAGGTAAAGGGGAAAGGGGGGACTTCCTGTTTTTCTTGGCTTAAATATGAGTCTCCTTGCTATGTAACTTCCTGCCTGGATCACCACTTCTCTACTACATTTCCCAGAATCCTCTTTGACTTCTAGTCCTGCCTAATTGGCTGCCTCATTGGCCAAATAGTACTTTATTTATCATCCAGTAACACATACACAGAAGCACTTCCCCCATCAGTCTGTAATTCTTCATGTAGGGTTGAGGCCTCTTGTGCTTTTCCCTTACACTTTTGTTGGAATCCAGCCCCCATGGGGTCTCTAAGAGTTGTTTTCCAGCATAACCACAGGTACCTCCTGTTTTCCTGACCTCACCCCACTGGGATCAATATCCTGTTTGAAACCTTTGACCTGGGGCTTTTGTAAGTTTGTATATAAGGCTGCTCCATAAGAAAGGTGAGAGAGATTCTCTCAGAAAAGGACCAGGAGTCTTGTGGTTCATCCAAATCTCCAGGCTTTCGCCCAATACTCGGACTTGTGGTTCATCCAAATCTCCAGGCTTTCGCCCAATACTCGGACTTGTGGTTCATCCAAATCTCCAGGCTTTCGCCCAATACTCGGACTTGTGGTTCATCCAAATCTCCAGGCTTTCGCCCAATACTCGGACTTGTGGTTCATCCAAATCTCCAGGCTTTCGCCCAATACTC